AATGACAGCGTTCTGTTCCTCCGATTGTCCACATGAGCCTGTTCCAACCAGATCAGCAGCGATATATGCGCAGTGGTCCCCTCATAAAAAGTCACCATACTCCTCACCTCCGCCCCTCTCTGCAGCGCTCCCTTCGATCTTTGTCTTCTCCCTCGCTCCCTCTCCGRCGTGCATTCCCCTCCTTCTCCCAYGTYTTCCTTCCCCATGTGTTCAAACTAGGGGACARATCTTGAATCAGATGCTTCTCGAAGGCCGGGTCTTCGTCTCTATCAATATGCGCAAGTGGAATGAYGAGAAAACGCTCCGGTCCAATACRTCTCATCCACCGGTAGAGAACCGAGGATAYCCCCAATGCATTCATGTATGCATTCGCCAGATGCTCTCGCCACCTTTGCAAGATGGTTCTTACCATACATCCTACGTATGTCTTCCTTGCCCAAGGACATATGATGACGTACACTCCGRCAGAATCCAAATTGGTAAGACGATTGAGTCCCCCGACTTTAYCGCGTCGCATCACCTTGTTCAAGTACTTCTCCACCCAAGGAATCTGGCCTCGTATCGTGAGCAGAATCGCCGCAGACGCAATAACCCTTTCGACGTTTGCCATACCTGCCATGTTTACACCCTGCCCCCGTAGGGTCGTCCGGTGCGCTATGTACTCGTTAAGAGTCTCCCATAGGCAACCGATCGTAGGGGGCTTCCACCGTTAGTGGGAGCCCAGATCTGGCATACTGTTCGCTGATCGCAGGAGCACCCGTTCTGACCTTGGCCGTGGTGTCACCTTTCCCACCACCGGTGTCACCATCCTCGGAGACCTCACAGCATCCCCCGCGGCCGCCTGCCGAGCTTTCTCCTCATCAAAACTGTCGTATGCAAGCATCACTTGTCTCTTCGCTAGTTCCTCAATTACCAACGGCTTCCGTGTGTACTGTATCCCTTCTCGTGTGCATATCTTCCTGAGCGTGGTTGCGTTCTCTTTTGAATACAGCTTGTGTGCAGACAGGCAGTACTCAATCATTCCTTTTTGGGAACATTCCGCAGGCAATGCCATGTGCTTCGTCCTAACCGAAGTGGCCGGTTCTTCCGACCCTCGATGCTCATGACTTTCCCGTCTTCCCCGTCATTGTTTTCCCTTAGAACACTCTCCACGTTCATGCTGTACTTGATTCTCCAACAAAGATCCCCCCTTTTTTTTGTTGCTCTTTCGCTTCTTTCCCTTCTTCTTCCGCTTGAGCTTCAAATCCCTCCTCGTCTTTCTCGATCGTTCATCTTCCAGATCCGATTCAGAGCTCTCTTCCGTGTCGGTGGTTTGCTCTTCATCCGATGAATCCGTCCCCCCACTTGAACTGTCCGGTCTCCTTGTCTTCGTCCCACCTCTCCTAAGTCCTTACGAGATTTCCTCCCCTTTCCCCTCCCCGGGGTATTCCTCTGTAGCGTGGGGATATTCCCATCCGTCATGGTCTCAAGAGTTCCCGCCGCACGTGCTGCCTCGGCCGCCTTCTGTTCTGCCACTTTTGCTCCTCCCGCCACCGCCAACTCTTGCTGCTTTCTCCACTGGCTCTCAATATCGGCCCTTAACTCCATGCGGATTTCCTCCGTAGCCCGCACCAGATCAAGAGCCCTGCGCCTCTCCTCCTCATCGTTGATCCTTTTTGGCTCCTCCTCCCTCTTCCTCTCCTCTACCTCCTGTCTCTCCTTAATCAAGCCCCGATAGTGATCCCTCATATCCTCCTTCTCAAGTTCTCACGATCCTGATTGGATGGTTTCCCTTGCCTAGACCAACAGTCTCTGGCAAAATGCCCACATTTCCCGAAATTTTAACACGTTATATTATTACCGCCCCCGTTCCCTCCATTGTACCCACCACTGCCTCTTCCATATCCGTTGCTGCCACGGTTTCTGCCGTTCCCACCGCCATACCCTCCGTTTCCCCCTTCACCAAAATTTTGCCCGTCATTTGGGCCGTGATTTGAACTTATTTCTAAAACCTCCGTTCCCTCTGTACATCTTTTCTCCTCCGTTCGTGAACTGCTATCTTCTCCTATACCCATAACAGCTATGAACTGATAAACTATCTCTCCCTGAAAACACCCTCTGGCTTTCAACAACCCCAACACCTTCACACCTCTAGTACTTTCTTCCAGCTAAAACAATCCCTGAAAACACCCTCTGGNTTCTTCCAGCTAAAACAATCCCTGAAAACACCCTCTGGCTTTCAACAACCCCAACACCTTCACACCTCTAGTACTTTCTTCCAGCTAAAACAATCGTGAACAGCGACTCACATCTGATCCGTAGTAGTCATGGCCACCGTACAAGCCGAAAAACTCGCGGTTGCCACGATCCCTCGAGTTGAGGTGAACTGCAGCAAAACAGTCCGTGCGAGTGCGAATCAAGACACCTGAGTGATGACAAAAATTCAGATATTACACGAAGAACACCATCGCCATCACCCCACGTGCCAGATCAGCACACCCCAAAGATCAGGATAACACCTGCAGGCAAAGCGGTCCCTCGACTGGTTTCGTCCGTTCCGCAACGGATTCTCATCAGGAGAGTGGATCAAAATCCTTCTGCCGAAAGAGAAGGCGATCAGCCATGCCATCTCGTATCTGTACTTTCTACATTAGCGTGCACTCACCACGCTACGCAATGGTCCAAGCGTCTGCACTTTGTACTTGGCTCAAGAACGTCAACTCCTCAGATGTACCTTTTGTCGGTGATTAATTACTTCTGTAATCATATGCACCAACCACAGAAGTTCCACACCCGTGCCAGTCCTAAGTCAGACCAGCCATCAAAACGCCTCTCGAATAAGCTCTGATCATCCCACCGTCTGATCCTTCCCTATCCGTCCCTGAGAGCACACGTGTCACCTTCGAATAAACGCATCCTTAGGCTCACTTACCTTCCTACCCATCAAGAAGAGCGCCACTCCCCGTGCGCTCATCCTACCTGCTTCTCAAATAGTATGATAATTGATTTCTCCACAACGAACATCCACTTTTCTGTATGTAGCCGTAGTGGTCCGTAGCGGACCGTAGCGGACCGGGCTGCGCAGTGGTCCGAAAAAACTTTTCTCCTTCTTTCCTTTTTCCCTACCTGTTTCTCCCTCCCCGGAGGAACTTCGGATATATGGCAGAACAGATTGACAAAAAGAAACAACGAAAACGAAAAGAAAAGGAAAAGAAAAGCGAAAAATAAAAGGAAAAGAAAAACGAAAAATCCCCCACTCGCCAAAAAAAAATAAAATTGGGACCTTCTATCGTATCGTCCCGTCCCGCCCCGTACCGGAGCTACTACTATGATAAAGACAAAAATTTTCCCTGCCGATTCATGGACATTACGTCATCCAGGTGTCGCAAGAACAGGACCCAACATTATGTCATCTTGTTTCTATCCGGAAAACTAAAAAAAAATGAATAAAAACCTCCTACCCCACTGCCCCCCTTGTCGGCCTCCGACTCCCCTTTGCAGATTCGCGAATGCCTTCCACAGGGTTCTCAGCGGAGCTACATCCGCAGCTTTAGCCAAT